AGCAAAGACAATATACACCACCTTCTTTTAACAAAATCAAAACATGAAATAACCACAAGATGAGAGGATACATAACAATTACCAACCAAATAAAAGAATTTTGTCTTCCTGTCTGTATTTTGCAACTACAAACTAATGTGATCATTACCAGGAAAAAGAAATGGAGAATCACTCTTCATGTCACGATGCATCACAATCAAATTCCGATATCAACACCAAAGCTATAGCTAAGTTCATAAGAATGGCAAATAGACCATGGCAATATATGTATGGAGTGTACCAATGAGACCATGAGTTTCAGGCACAGAGAATGAAATGAGGTATTGGTAGTCAGAACGTGGAGGAAGCAGGCAAATGATCGAGCTTGGTCTCTAGAACAGATCAAATTTCTTCTTTGTTAAGTCTTGCTTCCATCTTGGCAGGTTATAGAATGCTTCTTTTGTCATTCCAAACACTGTCTCAAACTCCTCTTCTGACAGATATGCCTGAGACATCACAAAGAAGAAAGCACGAACACTATGAATCAAAGGATCTGATATGATTTAAATTTATGAACGTATGGTCTTACTAACCTCTCTGCGTTTAAAATCAATCCCAGTTACTGGATTCTCAGATTTGGATTTCAGTTGTTCATAACTGAATGTAATTTGATTGCCTCCACTCTCATTCTCATTCTGCTCTGCCTCTGGCATTTGTTCTGAATTTTCCCCAGTGGGTTCAGGAGCAACTTCGTCTGTCTCCTTGACTTCAGCAGCCTCTTGAGAATCCTCGGCTTCAGAAGGGGCAATTACAGTTATCAGAACAAATGAAAAATTATGAAGTCAAATTCACACATCACTTAGTCAGAACAATAACTAACTTCTTGGGGATTGTAAGGTTAAAGAGTCAACCTAAATTGAAAATACGAGGGCTTCATATACCTGCTGGGCTAGCTTGCGCAAGGGGGCTGCTATTCAGTGATCTGGAGGGGGAGCCACCGGGTGATTGCTTCTTTTCAGCAGTAAGAACAGATGAAAGGGCTGCTACCGCTGCTGCTCTTTGTGATCCCTGACTAACTGGCCTCAGAGGAGGGGAAATTGGTTTTGTTGCTGATGAAGAACCAAATGCTGAAGATAAAGCAGCTAAAGCTGAAGCTCTTTGGGTTGGTCCCTGATTTCCATTGGATCTATCCTGAGCCTGCAAGAGCATAACTGAAATGAGGAAGATGTAGCAAACACAGTTCATAATAAGATGGAACCAGCAACCTGACTGAGGACAAATTGAAAATTTATCCAAAAAACCTATTATGTGTAGCAAAAAGCTATTAATATATCAGCATGGAAAGTAAAATGGCCTGAGAAGCTGATACCAAAAACTTTTACCATTTGATGTATGGAGCAAACAGGTTCCAATTACAAATACAAACTCATTACTCATTCAAAACATATTTATACTCAGTTAAAAGTGCAGAGCAAGTTTGTTAACTTTGGAGACATGAGAAGTGAATTACTGTAGAGGTTGATTTTGTGGAGGATGGATTAAATGCCGAAGATAAGGCAGCTAATGCTGAAGCCCTTTGAGTGTGACCCCGTTGGTTCCCATTGGACTTCTCCTGTATCAGTATATAGAATACATCAGTTGAGAAACTAATTTCGATACTAATGACGAAGGTAATTCCATAAAATCATTAATCACAATACTGTTCTCGGAACAGTGTCAAGATATGGGGTTCCTTATCTCCAGAAGAAATCCATAATTCTATGTTTTCCAGTTATCAAAACTGAGAAGTTGACCACAGGAAGCCTGAAGAGAACCTGTATCTACAAGTTGGGAAAAGAAACCACATCTAACAATTTCAACAAGGATACACTGGAACATATTCTTATTCACGATTCGAACTCTGGAATATACCTATCTTCATAGGTTACTTTTCCTATGAAGAAAACTATAAGGGTTAAATTCCAGTTGATCTTCACAATCCTACTTTCTCTACATGTTAGTAAAGAACTTCAAGTAGCGAAAGGTCAAACACACATTTCATAAAAGATTTTGTAACCAATTTGCTTGGAAAGCAAATTCCACGCATAATTTGAAACAAGCACTTACCTCTACAGCATGGCTTGCACCAAAGAGTAATGCTACCTTCTTCTGAAATGAGTTTCCAGATACCTGGGTTCCACAAAAATGAGAATCTAAGAAAAATATGAAACAGAAGCAGTTAGATGCAGCATGCTAGAACTGAAGGAACTGAGTAAAAGATAAAGCTGTCAACAGCTAGAGCAACAACTTAAGGGGTTTTTTTTCCTCTACTTTTTCCTCATGTTAGACTCTGACTAATCAGTAGAAATTAGCTATAAAGATTTTTCTCATACATTGAGTGGCAAGTACAGATTTATTGGCAAGGTGTTCTGGTTCTAGGCTGCCCATACTGTGAAACACAAGTTTCAAATACAACACCAACTGATACTACTTTTCTGCTCCTTAAAACATAGTCATAATGCTCACTAATATACTTTTCCATTTCTTGTTGCTCTAACAGTCTCACTGCAATTTTATCTAGGAGCTTCCTTGCACTTCATGTTTCCCCACACTCAAAATCAAACTTGACTTGACAAACCATCAAGCATTTTCGGTTTATAAGGAACCCCTATTTGGGTAACAAGACTGGATAGATTGATGCTAAATGATTAATGATCCTATGCCACCTTCCATCAGGTTCATATTCAAGCAACCTGCCTCATCTTTGTTCCTCCTTGGAGATAAAAATCCCATGATTTCATGTCAATGGTAAACATGTTAAATTGTTTTCAACTTTGTAAAAACTAGCTGTGGTAACATGTGTCACAATTTTCTTGCTGACGAAGAAAATAATTCTAATGCAGATTTGAAATTTTAAAAAACTTATTGATGATATATATAAACATTGTTGCAAAAAACATACTGTCGCCTTTGCAGGATCCCATGAAAAGAATGTTGTGAAGAAGCAAGGCTCATTTCCTTTTGTGACTTTATATAATGGAACTTTTGGAGACAATCCCTCAAGAGAAGTGGCCAAGTGCACATATTTCTGCATGGAACTCTGACGATTAAAAAAGTCCATTACAAAAGAAGAAAGATTTAAAATGCAGAATTTTTTGCTAGGTACCTGGCCAATCTCAAAAGCATTTTGCTTCTCTTTGGCGTCTACTGACTGACCAATCCAAACAAACACTTCGGTCTGTGTGTCAAGTATCAAAATATCCTCAGTCAAGAGATCATCTTGAGTAAAGTTATAAACTTCCTCAATCTGCATGATAGTATGTAAAAATGTAGAAGCCACTAAATAAACACGGACAAATAAACCGTGTTGCAGGCTTACAGCGGCCAGCCCCAACGCCAAACGCAACCGTTTCGATGTGATGGCGACATAACACTCGTTAAAAATTGCCCAGTTTCGACCTTTTAGATATTTGGGCTGAATCTAACACGGTGGTTTAGACTTTGGATTGACAGACGCAAGTGAGGGCCTTGTGGTTTCGACCGGTTCACTTCACCTTTTGAGCCTAATAGGCCCACAAAATTTTCCTCCGTTCATGAAAAGCAAAATTTGTGCTCTTTTAATTTAAAATAATTGTGATTTTTTAAATTTTTTTAAATTTAAAATTTAAGCACAATTTATATATTTATCTATAGTATCTTTCAAAAAAGTTATAATATAAAATGATGTTTGTTGTGATAGGATAATCAATTAAAATAAATAGATATTACTATGGCTAAAATAAAAAAATTTTATTTATCTTAAAAAATAAAAAATAATAATTGATAATTGATTTGAGATAAACTAAAAGTGAAAAAATAAGAGCTATTTCGGGATAGAGTGAGTAATATAAAGGTAATTTAATTTTCTTTTCAATCTCATTTATATTTGTTTCACCTTTAAAAAAAAAAGAAATTAAATGTAAAAATAAAAAAAAAATGTAAAAAGTTGCTTATGAAACCTTAAAGACAGACTGAAATTGTACAAAGTTTTATATTCAAATTCTTCTCATCCCACATGTCAACTAAAATTGTGTACTTACTATATATAAAACGAAGTTGAAAAAAATTTGCATTAAAAACTAAGGAAAAAATTTTGTTCCCTTGACTAATATGGGTGATGCCTATGAAATTGCATGTGGCCAAGTAAGTCATCATGCACATGGCACTTTGTTATGCCACATATGCAACAACAACCCATCACCTACCTGTCCCTAAAAGTGCCCTGCATGGTGAAATTAATAAACAAAAGTTAAATTAGGAAGAGATAAAGAAATCTCTAAGTCTAAACAAGGCTGCCATTTAGAAATGTTTAAAATAGCAGCCAGAGACTTTGGGAGCACATGCAGAATATGGCACTGGCACCTAGCCACCTCAACGCCCAGGCCCAAGACAACTTACATGGGCCAATAGGCCCACCACAATTATTTGTGGCCTCCTCTTATATTTCCATATGATCATTTTGTTCGCATGGTAGTGGCCCAACTTTCCAATCGGGTCACTTTATTATCTACATGCTATATGAAAAAAAAA